TACAACATTATCTCCAGGTCTCAATGTTGACAGAGATATACAGACAGACAGACTTACACACACACACACACAAGGATAGATAAACAGACATACATACATCTTAAGGTACACACGACACATCCACAAAACAAGAGTATCGTGTGTGTGTGTGTGTGTGTGTGAACTGCCTGTGAACGCGAAACCACTACCATCACCACCACTACTATAACCCCCACTACCACACCACACTACCACCAAGAGACGCCGGGATCTGGTTGCACAAGAACTACCCATTGTGGTATAGGTCTCTCAGGACGGACACACAACAACAACGATAATAATAATAATAATAACAGATAATAATAACAAATAATAATAATAAATAATATCAACAAATAATAATAATAATAACAACACTCGGACACTAAGCGTTCTATCCGCTACGCACCAAAAAAAAATATTATCATAAAACGTTACATAAATTATATTACAAGCACGTCAAATTAAACACACACACCTGTTTAACTGGGCTTACATCCACGTTTATATGTATGTATACTCTGTGTGTGTTATTATTATCACCACCACCCCAACCTAACTCCCTCTCAACACAGGTAAATCAGTACAGCAGCAACACCTGTACATTTCCCTTGCATACTAATGAGGCAATCACACGAGGGTCACACACACCGATTATTATAATGTATACATTTCACTATAAATTATTTCCCTCTACATATAACTGCCTCTCAATGAAATTACTTTATATACAATTCATTAAGTTAGTAAACCATTATGTCATCAAACCACAAGATCTAAACGAATTCCCTTTACTTACAATTATTTAAGTGGGAAAATTATAATACAATAAAACGCTGTTAGTTTATTTATTTACTTTACACAAGTTTCAACACACGACAAGAGTTTGACGAAATATTACAGAAATAACAAAAGAGCATCGCGTTCGGGGTAATGAGCAACGTGAAGACCAAGTCACAGCCAAGGCGACGGTTCCGGACGAAGGGTTTTCAGAATGCTTCCTCTCTCCCTCCCTCCTCCCCCCTCTCTCTCTCTCTCTCTCCCTTATCCCCAGCACTCTCTCCTCCTTTCTTATATTATTTGTATACGACATTTGTGCTCAGGGAGGGAGGGAGGGAGGGAGGGAGGGAGGGAGGGAAGGGTGGTGAGAAGAAAGAGAGGGGGAGGAAATGAGGGACACAGGTGAGAGATAGTGAGAGAAAGGGGAGACAGAGAGATATAGTGGGGAGGGAGGGAGGGAGGGAGGGAATGTTTGTATAGGACAGTTGTGTTCAGGGAATTTCATGTCAAGCTGAGAGAGAGAGAGAGAGAGAGAGAGAGAGAGAGAGAGAGAGAGAGAGAGAGAGAGAGAGAGAGAGAGAGAGAGAGAGAGAGAGAGAGAGAGAGAGAGAGAGAGAGACTACCTAACACTAACCACCACCATCACTATGACTACCAACTTATCACACACACACACACACACACAGTTAGGGTTGAATGTTAGGCTAAAATCGATGTTAATACTGAATGTTAATGTTAATAAGCTTGAATGTTAGGCTAAAATCGATATTAATATTGTGTTTTGGTTGAAGTTAATCAGTTAAGGTATAATATTAAAGACACAGTTAAGGTAGGGAGCCTGGTGAGTGTGACCTCTTAAGAGAAGGACTCGCCAACTTCCCTCATTGAACGAGTCGTAACAATCAAGGCTTCTCACTTATAGACGCTTGGGTGAAAAAAATATATTATTAAAAAAAAAGTCAAGAGTCGATATAGATTCTGTGCCGCAGTCCTGTCTTGACCTGATGGTGGTGAAGGTGGTGGTGGTGGGGGGAGTGGGGGTGGTAGGGGTGATGAGGGTGGTGATGGGAATGGGGGTGGTAGGGGTGTTGAGGGTGGTGATGGGAGTGGAGATGGTGGTGGTGGTGATGTAGAGGGTGGTGGTGGTAGTGGTGATGGTGGTGAAGGTGGTGATGGTGAGGGAGTGGTGGTGGCAAAGGTGGTGATGGTGGGGGGAGTGGTGGTGGCGCAGGAGTGGTGGTGGTGATGGTGGTGGTAGTGGTGATGGTGGTGGTGAAGGTGGTGATGGTGGGGGGGAGTGGTGGTGGTGGTGGTGATGGTGAGGGTGGTGGTAGGCGGTGATGGTGAGGGTGGTGGTGAAGGTGGTGATGGGTGGGGGGAGTGGTGGTGGTGGTGGCGGTGGTGGGTGATGGTGAGGGTGGTGGTGGTAGTGGTGATGGTGAGGGGTGGGTGGTGAAGGTGGTGATGGTGGGGGGGAGTGGTGGTGGTGGTGGTGATGGTGAGGTGGTGGTGGTAGTGGTGATGGTGGGGAGGCAGGCAGCGCGCATGGTGGGGAGTGGTGGTGGTGGTGGTGGAGGGTGGTGGAAGGTGGTGATGGTGGGGAGCAGGTGGTGAGGGAGGGTGGTGGTGGATGGTGGTGGTAGTGGTGATGGTGAGGGAGGGTGGTGGTAGTGGCGACAAGTGGGGAGGGTGGTGGTAGTGGTGATGAAGTGGTGGTGAAGGTGGGGGAGTGGGGGGTGGTAGGGGTGATGAGGGTGTTGACGGGAGGGAGATGGTGGTGGTGGTGGTGATGGTGAGGGGTAGTGGCATGGTGAGGGAGTGGTGTGCGGGGTGGTGGTGGTGGTAGTGATGCAGGAGGGGGAGTGGTGGTAGTGGCATGGTGGGGGGGAGTGGTGTGTGATGGTGGGGGAGCGGTGATGCTGGTGGTGGGAAGTGGTGATGGTGATTGGGAAGGGTGCTGGTGGAGGATGGAGGGTGGTGAAGGTGGTGATGGTGGGGAGTGGGGGTGGGCAGCGGGGATGGTGAGGGTGGTGGTGAAGGCAGGATGGTGGGGGATGGTGGTGGCGGTGGTGGTGGTGATGCGGAGGCGGTGGGTGAAGGTGGTGATGGTGGGGGGTGGTAGGGGTGATGAGGGTGGTGCTGGGAGTGGAGATGGTGGTGATGAAGGTGGTAATAGTGGGGGGTTCTGATGGTGACATACAAACATACAGTCGATGGTGATGATAGTGAGAAAGTCTTTGGTATTAATGGTGAACTATAGTAACACACACATTAATAACATAGCGGTGAACGAGGACCTGTCTACCCCGCGATAACGTTCAGGTCTGACAAGCTCTCAATACCCCGCCACCCACCATGATTAATGACCCTATGTGACAACCTGTGGTGGAGAGAGAGAGAGAGAGAGAGAGAGAGAGAGAGAGAGGTTCTTACATGTTATGGCTGGGGAATAATTAACGTCAAGAGAACCAATTTTTTCCCCGCTAAGTAAGAAGTTTCCTCTCTCTCTCTCTCCACCACAGGTTGTCACATTAGATCATTAATCATAGTGGCTGGATGGGTACCTCTCTCTCTCTCTCACCTCCACCTCTCTCTCTCTCTCTCTCCTCCAAGTAATTAACTCAAGCTCAATACACTGAAAGCACTGAAAGAATCTCGAGTTGAATTTGTTGTGAAAGATGAATGAAGATGACGAATGAAAGCCGAAAAGAGAAGAAAAAATAGAGGCGAATGAAATCAAAATGCAAATGCAATCTGTGCAACACGTCAACCAGGAGGTGTGTGTGTGTGTGTGTGTGTGTGTGTGTGTGTGTGTGTATGTGTGTATACTATCCAAATCAGGCAACAAACAACGCCTTAAACCAAACAAACAAACATGACGAACACACGAGAGAGAGAGAGAGAGAGAGAGAGAGAGAGAGAGAGAGAGAGAGAGATAGCGGGGTATACCTACTTATTTAGTTTACAATGACCCCTCTTCTGTCTACCTGTGACCTCTAACAACATAACAGCTGAATCACACTCTGGCACACCTTAACAAGTTCACAGAGACACAACAAATATAAGGTATAAGGTAAAAAAAAGATCTGGTAACATTGTAAAAACTTCGCTTCCATTGGATCTGGTAACGGTGTCAGAACCTCGCTTCCAAAGGCCTGACATACCTGCATCTGCCAATCAAACAAGGCCGCCTCCAACAGGAAAGTGCTAGGACGAGTAAAGAAAGTGACAGGAAAGTACTAAGACGAGTAGAGAAAGTGACAGTAAAGTGCTACGACGAGTATAGAAAGTGACAGGAAAGTACTAGGACGAGTAAAGAAAGTGACAGGAAAGTACTAGGACGAGTAAAGAAAGTGACAGGAAAGTACTAAGACGAGTAGAGAAAGTGACAGTAAAGTGCTACGACGAGTAGAGAAAAAAGTAACAAGAAAATAATGATACAAAAAAGAGTTTTATAAAAGTGACGAAACGAGTAGAGAAAGTGACAGTAAAGTGCTTAAACAAACAAACAATGATATAATAACAGAAATAACTAGAAGTTCTTCACCTACAACACAAACACCAAACACTAATAAACTCTACGGTATTTACAACCCATATTTCAATACCAACCGACCTCACCCCCCCTCGCCCCCTAACAACCTTTGACCTCCCAAACACTCTGACCTTTGACCTAACCCACCAATCACCTTAAGGGCAATGTTGGCGGGAGGGAGGGTCCTAAAGTGGGGGTGGGGTGAGGGGGAGGGGACGTACAGATGAGCACATGAGGTGTATTCTGTAAGAAGGGGTAGATAACACATTAGGTGGGGAGGAAGGTGGACTTGTTGTCAATATGTGCTAACACTTTTTAGTATTATAGTACTGTGTGTGTGTGTGTGTGTGTGTGTGTGTGTGTGTGTGTGTGTGTAAGGTGGGAAGTGGGAGGAAGAAGAGAGGAAGGATGAGAAAGAGAAGGAGGAGGACGAGGAGTGTCAATACTGAAAAAAAAAACCCAAAGAACTCCCACTCAGGATTCCAAGTCACACTCCAACCTCCTACTCCAGCTGTCAACTTAAGCTTCGTCAACTCTTGTCTCCCTCACCGACTCTCATAAGCTGTACCGGTCCTTAAGAGAGTCGCCACACTGCTACACTCACCGACATTCGTTATTTATTTTTTTATTTTTCTTTTTTTTTACGTTTCAATGTTTAATTTAATCAATGTTTTTATGTAAGTTATATTCCATCAGACACACTATACCTGGTCACACTATACTTGGACACACTATACATGGTCACACTATACCTGGTCACACTATACCTGGTCACACTATATCTGGTCACACTATACCTGGCCACACTATACCTGGTCACACTATACCTGGTCACACTATACCTGGTCACACTATACTTGGTCACACTATACCTGGTCACACTATACCTGGTCACACTATACCTGGCCACACTATACTTGGACACACTATACCTGGTCACACTATACCTGGTCACACTATACCTGGTCACACTATACCTGGTCACACTATACCTGGTCACACTATACTTGGACACACTATACCTGGTCACACTATACCTGGTCACACTATACGGTACACTATACCTGGTCACACTATACTTGGACACACTATACCTGGTCACATACTTGGACACACTATACCTGGTCACACTATACTTGGACACACTATACCTGTACACTATACCTGGTCACACTATACTTGGTCACACTATACCTGGTCACACTATACCTGGTCACACTATACCTGGTCACACTATACCTGGTCACACTATACCTGGTCACACTATAACTGGTCACACTATACCTGGTCACACTATACCTGGTCACACTATATCTGGTCACACTATACCTGGCCACTACCTGGTCACACTATACCTGGTCACACTATACCTGGTCACACCTATACCTGGTCACACTATACCTGGTCACACTATACCTGCACACTATACTTAGACACTATACCTGGTCACACTATACCTGGTCACACTATACCTAGTCACACTATACCTGGTCACACTATACCTGGTCACACTATACCTGGTCCACACTATACTTGGACACTATACCTGGTACACTTCTGGTCACACTATACCTGGTCACACTATACCTGGTCACACTATCTTGGACACACTATACCTGGTCACACTATGCTTGGACACACTATACCTGGTCACACTATACTTGGACACACTATACCTGGTCACTATACCTGGTCACACTATACTTGGTCACACTATACCTGGTCACACTATACCTGGTCACACTATACCTGGTCACACTATACCTGGTCACACTATAACTGGTCACACTATACTTGGACACACTATACCTGGTCACACTATACCTGGTCACACTACCTGGTCACACTATGCTTGGACACACTATACCTGGTCACACTATACCTGGTCTACCTCACACTATGCTTGGACACTATACCTGGTCACACTATACCGTACACTATACTGGTCACCTATACCTGGTCACACTATATCTGCACACTATATCTGGTCACCTACCTGGTCACCTATAGCAGTCACTATACCTGGTCACTATACCTGGCAACACTATACCTGACCACACTATACCTGGTCACATATACCTGGTCACACTATACCTGGCCACACTGCCTGGCCACACTACATAGACACTATACCAAGCCTACATACACCCCCCCTCGTGCCTCTGGGTGGGGGGAGGCTATATCACGGGATAGGATTACTCTAACTGCCTGGAAAAATCCTTCGAGATCCTGGGGGTTAGTGGTGAGAGACTGCTGGGATTACCTAGGAAGAGTCAGAGTCCTTTCTTACGGCGACCAGGTGATGCTGAATTATGGGTCATATGTGAAAGAAGGAAAGGAAGGAAGGAAGGAAGGAAGGGAGGAAGGAAGGAGGTGGGAGGGAGGGAGGAGGGAGGGAGGGAGGGAGGGGAGGAGGGAGGGAGGAGGGAGGGAGGGAGGAGGGATGGAGGAGGAAGGATGGATGGACGTGAGGGAGGATGGAGGAGGAAGGAAGGAAGGATGGACGTGAGGGAGAGTGGGAGGAAGGAAGGAAGGAAGGAAGGAAGGAAGGGAAGGAAGGAAGGAAGGAAGGAAGGAGGTAGGGAGGATGAGGAGGGAGGGAGGGAGGAAGGATGGAGGGAGGAAGGAAGGAAGGATAGACGTGAGGGAGGATGGGAGGGGGGTGAGGGGGAGGGAAGTGAGGATGAGTAAGAAATGAGAAGAAGGAAGGGAGGAAGGAAGGAAGGAAGGAAAGAAGGAGATCATGACTGGTCTACACTTCCCAACAAAGTAATCAACAAGACAAACAACAACACGCCGTAACTCTTGCCCACCACCAGCAGCAACAAACAAACAAACCCCAGACAAAGACACAAACAACAGATGCAGGTAATGAAACAGACAAACAGATAAATCAAAATAAGAAGGGCAGCCACGTAGCGATATTTAGATGAAATTAGCAAAAGTTTATTATTCGAGTTACAATTTCCTGAAACCTGACGAAGAGAGGAAGAAGAGGAGGGGGATGAGAAGGAAGAAAAAACCAAGCAAATAATAATAACAGCAAAAAAGAAGAAGACGTAAACACAGGAGAACTCGTGGCAACACAATGCGGGTCGCGGCAAGTTGATTTGTGTGTTGTGGAAGTCGTAACACGGGCAGTCTTCTTTAAGGCTTCACGCTGAACGAATCTGAAGAAGCTCCTCATAGATCCTTATCCTGTGGAAGATTTGTGGGGATATATTGATCGCCTCTCAGTGGTTTGCAAGACGTCTCAAGGCTTCATGTAAACACTAAAGCTCCTTGTCATGGGGAAGCTTCAGGGTTCATACTACACGCATCAGTGGTTTCTAAGACGTCTCAAGGCTTCATGTAAACACTAAAAAGCTCCTTGTCATGAGGAAGCTTCAGGTTCATACTACACGCATCAGTGGTTTCTCAAGGCTTCATGTTGACCCAAATTAAAAAAACATCCATAACCTCGTGGTATTATGCATTCAAGAACCATATTATTCAATCCGCCTCGAGGGCTCTACGGGAAGGTATTTAAATAATCTTCTCTTTATATCCTATACAGAGACCTACAAGGACTGGAACCCAAATGGGACCTCAGGGCGCCTCAGTGGAACAGACCTGAATGTCTTAATCCCCCAGATGCCTGTGAGTTTGGACTGGTGGTTCATGAGACAGGATTTTTGGTCTTTGTTTATTCCTCAGTTCCTAGGGAGGTGGGAGGAAGAGGGAGGAGGGTGAGAGGAGGTGAGGGGTGAGGGAGGAGGGTGAGAGGGAGAGGAGGAGGGGTGAGGGGTGAGAGAGGGAGCCAAGAATTATTAGAAAAAGAGGACAAGACAAAGCCAGAATTAAAGAGGCGAAAAAAGGACTCTCTTTCTCTCTCTATTTCCTCATCAACTCTCTCTCTATTTCCTCATCAACTCTCTCTCTTTCCATCGCCTCTCTCTCTCTCTCTGGTGCCTCCATGAGTACAAACACCAACATATCGCACCGTTCAATAATCACCGCCACTGTACTGTACGACCGCCAACTTTGGTGTTCGTAGTGAGGAAAAAAGACCTCACCAGCCTCACTCCAAGTTCTGACAACTTCCGTCCTCAATTAATTTACTCAGAAAAAAACATTAGGAGAACGACACCTACCTACCACCACCTACAGCTACCCACCACCACTACCACCACCACTCTCAGCTACCACCACCTACAGTACCACCACCACTACCCCACCACCACTACAGCTCTACCACTACAATACTACTACCCACTATAGCTAGCACCACCACCAACCCACCACTACGGCTACCACCACCACTACCACCACTACAACTACCACCACCACTATACCACCACCACCACCACCACCACCACCACCCACCACCACCACCACCACTATGCTCTCACCACCACCACTACAGCTCTGCTACCACTACACCACTACCCACTACAGCTACCACTACCACCACTCTACCTACCCACCACAGCTACAGCACCACCACAACACCGCTACCACCACCACTACAGCTACCACTACCACCACCACTACCACTACCACCACCACCATCTTATAAACAGGTCTAGAGTCACATAATTCATGGTTGTGACACTACCTGGTTCACCCATATACTGTATAGCACATGGTTCACCTACTGTACTCCCTCTCCATGTACCCACCCAGGACACCATCATCATTCACTATAATATACTGTATCCCCACCCACCAACCACACCTCTTTAACCCACAGTTAACTCACCCCTAACCTTCCCACCACCGACCACCCCCCACTCTTTAACACCACCTACACACCCCCACCACACCCCGGCTCTTTAACCCACCCTTAACCCCACCACCCTCATAATAGTGGGCGTAGTTTGTTCTAGTGATTAACACGAGTGACCAACGGAGGTTATAATGTATAGCTACCATATCAAAGCAAGCAAGCAAACAAGTAAGCAAGTAAACAACCAGGCAAACAAGATCCATATAGCAACAGACAGATACAGACGAATGCTATATTGTTCTTATAGGTGATATTGTATTGTATTGTTTATAAGGATGATAATACAGCCATTGTATTATGAACTAAATCACAACACAACACAACACCGACATAACACAACACAACACCGACATAACTACAACACAACACAGACATAACGCAACATACTTTCATCACAAGCAATACACAGAATAAACCTAACCTAACCTCACCCCGTCCACTTAACCTAACCTAACCTCACCCCGTCCATCTAACTAAACCCAACCTCACCCCGTCACCTAACCTAACCCAACCTCACCCCGTCCACCTAACTAACAACTCCCCGTCCACCTAACCTACCAACCTCCCGTCCATCTAACCTAACCCAACCTCACTCGATCACCTAACCTAACCTCACCCCGTCCACCTAACCTAACACTCTCACCCGTCACCTAACCTAACCCTGTCGCCCCTAACCTCTCGTCCTATACCACCGTGAGTAACTAGCCATCATTACTTCCACCTGCCGCCACACTACTTAATTACCTGGCCACCGTTTTTGGCCTCCCCTCCACCTCCCTCCCCCTCCACGACACACATTCATCAAGACATAATCACAATCAGACGAGGGTTACACGCAACCAAGGGGGGGGGGACTGAGAGATAAATGAAATTAGCGAAATGAAAAGCTGCTTGGTGGAAGTAGTTTGAGTGGTGCCCGGTGTATGATGGAGGAGGGAGGTATGGTGAGAGGGGGGGACGAGAGGGTCAGGGGGGAGGTGGTGAGTGGGAAGAGGAGGAGAGAGAGGAGGTGGGGGTTAGGGGAGGAGATGAAGGGAAGGTGGTGGTGAGTGTGGTGGTGGTGGTGGTGGTGGTGGTGGTGGTGGTGGTGGTGGTGGTGGTAGTGGTGAGTGGTGGTGGTGGTGGTGGTGTGGTGGTGGTGGTGTTGGTGGTGGTGGTGGTGGTGGTGGTGGTGGTGGTGAGGTAGGGGTGGTGGTGGGGTGGTGGTGGTGGTGGTGGTGAGGTTGTAGTGAGGGGGCCTGTGTTTTGTTGTGGTAAGGCGTTGTCATGACGACCACTGGATCGGCCGGCGGCTCTGCTTTTTTTTCTCCGTCGACCAAAAAAATATATATTATTGTTAGACGAAATGTAATTAAGGTATTAGAGCGCGGCCTCATTTTTCCTATAGTTTAATTTACTCTGAACTTAACCTAACCTAACCATACCTAACCTAACCTAATTTACCATACGTAAGCTTAATCTACCCTGAGCCTAACCTAATCTATCCTGCCTGTAATCTAACTTAACCTACTCTAATCTAATCTTAATCCAACCTAACCTAATTTACCCATATCTAAACTTAATCTACCCTGAACCTAACCTAATCTAAGCTGACGGCAACCTAATTTAACCTAATCTAACTTTAACCAAACCTAATCTAACCTGGCCGAAACCTAATCCAACCAAACTTTAACCTAACCTAACATAAATCGTATTCTAACTTAACCTAATCTTATCTAATCTGACCTTAACCTAACGTATAACTAATCTACCCTGAAGGCAGACTAATCTAACTTAACCCAAACGTAACCTACAAACTGTCTACCATTTACCGAACTTAACACAGGTACAAACACACGCTAAACACAGGTACAAACACACGCTAAACACAGGTACAAACACACGCTAAACACAGGTACAAACACACGCTAAACACAGGTACAAACACACGCTAAACACAAGTACAAACACCAACCACACCTACAAACACTCGGGAACATTCACAAGTGTTTACAAATACATCCATCTCAGTGACTTAAAGCTGCCAACTAAACCACAAAAGCTTTAAACCAAATCCTCTTGTCTCGTTGTTTTTTCTCTCTCATAGTTAAACCAGTTTTATCAGAGCGGTCTTCCCTTCCTCACCACAACTTCCTGATTTTTATTGTATATATCTTGAAAAATATTAGTTTTTTGTCATTTATGATGTATGTATGTGGCGACCTGTGGTGTAATAGTCAGCACGCTCACCTCGCAAGCGAGCGGACCCGGGTTCGATGCCCGGGCAGGGTGAAACTATGGGTAAGTTTCTTTACGCCATTTGCCTGTCTACCCAGCAGTAATTGGGAACCTGGTGCCCTTATTATAGAATGGGTATCAATTCACTAGAGTCGGTGCAGCGAAGAATGACAAAAATGATTCCGGGACTTAGAAACCTTCCATATCAGGATAGGTTAAAGAAACTTAACTTGCATTCCCTAGAAAGACGAAGAGTGCGGGGAGATATGATAGAAGTATTTAAGTGGGTGAAAGGAATCAATAAAGGGGATATAAATAAAGTTCTTATAATATCCGAGCAGGATAGGACTCGGAGCAACGGATTTAAGTTGGATAAGTTTAGGTTTAGGAGGGAGATAGGAAGAAACTGGTTCACAAATAGGGTGATGGACGAGTGGAACAAGCTTAGCAACTTTGTAGTAAGTGCTGAAACTCTGGAAAGTTTCAAAAGGAGGCTGGTTAGATTCATGGATGATAGAGAGTGGTAGTAACTCTCGACAGGAGCTGCCATGCACAGGCCAACCGGCCTATTGCAGACTCCTTATTTTCTTATGTTCTTATGTAATCGATTTGCAGATCGTGTTCTGGGGTAATGGTTAGCCAGTGCAGTTGGCGAGTTGTCCGGTCTTCTCGGACTATTCCTTGACACCGGGTCATGCAACTTGTTAACTAAGGGTGTGGTTGTTGTGTTGGCGACAGCTTCTACACATTAAACAAATTCACGCCTAGGTGGCCCTAGGACAGTCCATCCTCGTTACACGAGGGGCAACCATTATGTATGTATGTATGTATGTCGTGACGGTATATAAAGCTAACCTAACCTAATACCAGCAGTTGTCCACGCTGCCTCTTCTTCTACCAAACGAATCCTATAAATAATAATAAAAAGTGAAAATAAATAAAAATACCGTATATAACTTGTATATTTAAACAGACAAGGCCAATAACACATCAACGGTCATCTTAACGTACAAATCATCTTTTAGTGCATCATTAACCGTTGCTCTATTATCTTCTATTGCTATAATTATGGTTTATGATCTACGTTTACTTCAAATTAATGTATTATGATCGGCTCTTATTGCTTCTATTCGGTTTATTGTATTTATTTACCAATTTTCTCTTGTTGTGACGCCCGGGAGAACCTGTGAGGGGGGGGGGGTTATACGGTACAGTACTGAGTTGTTACGTAGTGGTGCTGTAATAAAGTTTATGTCATATTCATATCTATTTCGTATGTGATATAGTTGTACACACACACACACACACACACCACCTAGCGGATGTCTTCTACACTACACTAGGCTATACCTCACACTCGCCTTGTACACTGAATATCACCAGAAGGCGCTGATTGAAAACACCTTCTTTAGGAGGATGTAAATTACCCTGGGAGAATGACAAGACGCAATACCTATTAGAGAAATGACTTAGGGGAGTTTCATCATTCAAGACATAATGTGGGAAAATTTCTGAGCGTAGCGTCAACGGGCGATTAAAATTTCGTCAGCCGCCTGTGTGTTACGCCAGGAAGTTATCTCACTTGGCCATCACTGCTCCACTGGGATTAACGAGTCATTAGCTCTCTCGAACCCAAACCCATTAACGGATTACGTGTCAGTGTCCTCTCCGTTGTCGTCATCGAGTTCGTTATCAATTTCGTTAAATGTCTGTTATGGCCGTCAACATTTTTATAAACTTTAAAATTAACCCAATATAAACCTGTTGTGACAGATTCTCAAACATTGCACCAGTCTACAGTACACCAACCCCACCTCCACCCTGCCCCTACCAAACACAGCCTCATATATCGCAACACTACCCAGCCAGACCTCACTCAACCGGACCCCATCTATAAGAGACCGACAAGCCTAGCCAACACCAAGCCTAGCCAACACCAAGCCTAGCCAACACCAAGCCTAGCCAACACCAAGCCTAGCCAACAACAAGCCTAGCCAACACCAAGCCTAGCCAACACCAAGCCTAGCCAACACCAAGCCTAGCCAACAACAAGCCTAGCCAATACTAAGCCTAACTCACACAAAGTCTAGCCAACACCAAGCTTAGCATGATATAGTCTAGAAAAATCTGCCTTCACCATCCTGCCCAAAAATAACACCACCACCACCCAAGCCTAAGAACAGCATCACCACCACCCTATCCCAAGAACAGCATCACCACCACCCTATCCCAAGAACAGCATCACCACCAACCTATCCCAAGAACAGCATCACCAACCTATCCCAAGAAGAACAGCATCACTCACCTAATCTTATCCCCAAGAACAGCACCACCACCACCAATTCTATCCCAAGAACAGCATGACCACCCACCCTATCCCTAAGAACAGCAACGCAATTAACCTATCCTAAGAACAGCACCACCACCACCCACCCTATCCTGGGCAAACAGTCTATCACCACCAATCTTCTATCCCAAGAACAGCCCACCACCACCACCCCATCCCAAGAACATCAGCAGACTAACTAATTCCTATCCCCAAGAACAGCACCGCCACCAACCTATCCTAAGAACAGCACCACCACCACCACCCCATCCCAAGAACAACAGCACCACCACCACCACCCCATCATCCCAAGAACAGCACCACCACCACCACCCTATCCTAAGAACACAATTAAACGACTTATCCAAGAATACACCACCACCAAACCATCCAAGAACAGCACCACCACCACCAACCCTATCCCAAGAACAGCATGACTAACTCCCATCCTAAGAACAGCACACCAACCCATCCTAAGAACAGCATCACCAAACCTATCCTAAGAAGAAGAACAGTGCATCACCAATCAACCTAGTCCCAAGAACAGCATCACCACCAATCCAATTCCCAAGAATGGTGATCACCACCAACCTATCCCAAGAACAGCATCACCACCAATTCTATCCTAAGGAACAGCACCAACCTATCCTAAGAACAGCAATCACCAATTCTATCCTGCTAGAACAGCATCAACTTGAACCTATCCTATGAACAAAGCACCACCTCAACCTAACCTTAAGAAGAAGAAAGCATCACCACCAACCTATCCCAAGAACAGCATCACCACCAATTCTATCCCAAGAACAGCATCACCAACCTATCCTGAAGAACAGCACCACCAACCTATCCCAAGAACAGCACCACCAACCTATCCCAAGAACAGCATCACCACCAACCTATCCCAAGAACAGCATCACCACCACCCTATCCTAAGAACAGCATCACCAACCTATCCCAAGAAGAACAGCACATCAACCTCGTCACTTGACAACTTTTAACAGTATTATTTGGTTCACACGAAAATTTCCCTTCACTTGCTCGTGTTTTAAGCTGTGTCCCGGTTACCCTAGCGTCCCAGCCCTTCGATTATTTTTTTTTCCTGGCTGCTCCTCCCTCTTTTATCCTGGGTGTTGTTTTTTGGGGTCGAGAAACAATTGGGTAACACTGACAGCACAAGAAACTTTACTGTGGCGTGAATTTAATTTTTTTTAGTCCTTTACCCACCCATCCAGCCTAGTTGATCAATGTCATGTATAGATACGAAAATTTGTGTCCGATTTAGGAATAGTGTTTGTGATGCTAAGGATTAATATTCACTCTTGCAATACTTATAACCCAAGATTGCCATGATGTTTGGAATAGGTTAAGAACTTTGGTATTGTTAGGTTAGACAAGGTTTTGTTAGGTTTGGCCATGTTTGGTTAAGTTAGACAAGATTTGGTTAGTTTTGGCTATGTTAGGTTAGGTTATACAAGGTTTGGCTATGTTAGGTTAGGTAAGATTAGACAAGGTTTGGCTATGTTGGGTTAGGTAAGATTAGACAAGGTTTAGTTAGGTTTGGCCATGTTGGGTTAGGTTAGACAAGATTTGGTTAGTTTTGGCTATGTTAGGTTAGGTTATACAAGGTTTGGCTATGTTAGGTTAGGTAAGATTAGACAAGGTTTGGTCATGTTTGGTTAGGTTAAACAAGGTTTGGTTAGGTTAGGTTTGGCTATGTTAGGTTAGACAAGGTTTGGTCATGTTAGGTTAGGTTATACAAGGTTTGGCTATGTTAGGTTAGGTAAGATTAGACAAGGTTTGGCTATGCTGGGTTAGGTTAAACAAGGTTTGGTTAGGTTAGGTTTGGCTATGTTAGGTTAGACAAGGTTTGGCCATGTTGGGTTAGGTTAGACAAAGTTTGGTTGAAAAAATCTCCCAAAATACCCTCGAAAGGTACAGTATACGTATACAAAATACCCTCCATCGTACGTTACCTCGGCTGGGGCTGGCCACTGTCACACACATCAATCGCCTTCCACTACCTCCTAGAAAACCCACAAATGAAACTCACTTTATAAATTATTTTCACCGTTTAATTTAATGCATTTTCACCACCCGTATTACCACCATGTTCTCTCTCTACCATCGGATTATCAAGATCAGGTGACGAAATATTCCCCTAGAGCAGAGGGAGAAATATTCACCCTGGTATTATATGTTGATGAGAATATTACACAGGGCGAGAGAGGAGGGAGGAGGAGGAGGGAGGAGAGGAGGGAGGAGGAGGAGGAGGGAGGATCTTTTAAAGGGGCTGTAATAGCCGGTGGTCAGAGGGGGATTATCTGATGATTGGTGAGGGAGAGTGAGGGAGAATATACGGAGAGGGAGAGTGAAGGAAGGTATACAGGGGAGGGAGAGTATAAAGAAGGGAGAATATACAGGAAAGGGAGAGAGTGAGAGAGAGTTTATCCAACTACCGTCCGCCCCTGACTCTCTTTATGTCATCATTCTCTCTCTCTCTCTCTCTCTCTCTCTCTCTCTTCTAATCTTTCTCTCTCTCTCTCTTCTTTCCGCAACCTTTCTTTTCTCTCTGAATAATATTGGAGCAGATTTACATATTAATATTGAATTTCCACAAGCCTTCGTTAACTCTTGGGGGCCTGGTCTTAATGGGCCTTTTTATAGTCCTACTGGGCCCCTTAGTCCTACTGGGCCCGTTAGTCCTACTGGGCCCCTTAATCCTACTGGGTCCCTTAGTCCTACTGGGCCCCTTAGTCCTACTGGGCCCGTTAGTCCTACTGGGCCCCTTAATCCTACTGGGTCCCTTAGTCCTACTGGGCCCCTTGGTCCTACTGGGCCCCTTAATCCTACTGGGTCCCTTAGTCCTACTGGGCCCCAGTCTATCTTGATGACCTCCAGTCCTGACAAACTCCTTTTCCTTTAGCTCCCAAACCTAATGTATAGGTCAACCTCAGCCCCCATTAAGATTGGGGCCTGTTGGAACTTGGAGCCTATTGGGACATGGGGCCTGTTGGGACTTGGGACCTGTTAGGACTTGGGACTTTTTGGGATTTAGGACCTGTTGGGACTTGGGGGGGCCTGCTGGGACTTGGGACTTCCTGGGCTGTAATGCAAAGTTTAAACAGTTTTAATTCGAGTAAGTAAACTATTTCCAACTCTTGTCTTTGTGGCCTCTGGGGTAATTTGAGTGAGTGAGTGAGTGTGTGTGTGTGTGTGTGTGTAACTATTTGCATGTGTAGATGTGTGTCCCAGTATTTACTTATGTATGTATGTATATATCTATGTACATATGTATGCATACATGTACTTGTGTGTGTACGTCTGCAAATTCACCACCACGGTTCTCTCACAATACCATCCTTCATTATAAACTTCCCAGAGAGAGAGATATCTTCCCCGTAAGCAGCTCTCTCACAACACTTAAACTCTCACATTAATACCAACTCAAAAATATCACCAAACACAATAACCAGTTCTTGAAAACTTAATGGTCAAGTTTTAAGAATTCTGGCAACACCGTTTACATCTCCAGGTGGTGTGACGTCAGTGGAGGTAATACTGAGATATTGTATAGCGCGTAAATTGTCGTTCTTTCCTTTAATTATTATCGTTTCCTCTTTAATTGTTATAGTTATTTGTAATGGAATCTCCTGAGGTAAGATCAGTTACTTCATGGATCACTTGATGATTAGACAACCCTAACATTAACGGGAATGGGTTAGGTTAAGTTAGTTCAGATTAGGTTACATAAGGTTAGGTTAAGTTACCTTAGATCAAGTCTAGTTAGGTCACATTAGATTACATCATGTTAGCTTAGGTTATACTAGGATACATTAGGTTAGGTTACCAGGGTGTTAGGTTAGGTTACCAGGGTGTTAGCATCATCTTTGTGTTGTAGGTTGAGTTAAGAGTCCTCAATACTAAACGTTCACTCACTCAAACATACAGTACAGTCAGTTATAAGACAGTCACTCAAATATACAGACAGTTACAAGACAGTCACTCACTCAAAACATACAGTATACAGTACAGTCAGTTATAAGACAGTCACTCACTCAAAACATACAGTATACAGTACAGTCAGTTATAAGACAGTCACTCAAACATACAGACAGTTACAAGACAATCACTCACTCAAAACATACAGTCATTTTCTCAAATATTCCTATGCCACCTTTAGCTCCGCCAGTCACTTCTAATAATAATAATCTCGACTGACTAACTGATTGAATAAATGACTGACTGTCTACCTGAACGACTGTCTGAATGACTATAACTACAGACTCCTCCATCAATAAAATATACACTCATACCTTCAATAAACCACAAAAAATAAAATACTGCACCGAACAACTCAAGCCTCGGGCGGTAATCTCTCAGGGAATCACTAAATCTTAAACAAAAATACATATCGTTGGGGTAAAACCGAACGAAATTCACTGAAAAGCATTTTTTTTTTTAATCCGTCTAAGTCGTTTTCCAAAGGCACTTGTCCCCAACACAAGAGGCACTCAAGGGTAGTCGCTAGTGAAGAGAGAGAGAGAGAGAGAGAGAGAGAGAGAGAGTGCGGAAGGAGTGAAATTATCCCCAAGGAGTAGCGCGCGGAAATGGCTCTTAACAAAACCATTTTAGTCGAGCATTAATTCTGGTGGGTGTGTGTGTGTGTGTGTGTGCGTGTGTGCGTGTGTGCGTGTGTGTAGCCCAACCTTTACACCACAACACATTAACACATCACACAACTAAACAAACAAGCAACAATTTCCCTCACTTATAATCTTCTCATCATTTCTCTAACTAATACACCTGTACAGTACGTCACCCTACCTGTAATTACCCATGGCACCACATTCATTAATATTCTTACTTTATATCCTGACAACACACAAACATCTATGTATAAAAAAAAAAATAGTACCCTACTTTTCATACACAAATACACATATATACATTAGTGTATATGTATATACCCACACATACAGGTGCGCTATTTGAACAGTTAAATTCTTCCTGGTTGCAGCACGGCCTCTTGTAAACCGAGCCATTACCTCATTACTAAATAGAGTTTGCATGTGTGTATCGGCTATAGTAATGCGGAGGCCATGTTGGGGTCAGCTAGTGTGGGCATAACACAGTGGACACCAGCTTATCACAGCCTCTGCCTCTGACCGTAATATAATAATAATAAGAAATACTACTACTACCATTAATAATAATAATAATAATAATAATAATAATAATAATAATAATAATAATAATAATAATAACAGCAAATAATAATAATAATAATAATAATAAAATACGCCTTACCTTTCATTATGTTTAATTTAAGCGCTGCAACTCTAGGAAATATCATTCAATATACTCTCAATACCTCAGCAAATTCTCTCTCATGAAAATATACCTGCCCACACATATCCGTGAAACTTAGCAGGTAATTAATATTCATAAACTTTCCACCTGTAGCAAAGATTGATTACCCTTTCCTACACACCTGGCCTGCGACACACACCTTCTTACCACATGTGTTCAAGTTAATTTTGCCGTACATGTGTTAGTCATTACTGAACTGTTGCATACTTGATGGTAATGTAGTGAGGACTTTAACTATATTTGGAGCGTGGAATGTAAATTACTATAAGCCTATTTTAACCATTTCGCTGCGTTTCCCGCACTTGCCGTTTTATTCTGGCTACCGCCAGACGATTTTATTCATCTTAGAGTAACCTCCCGCATCCAAAGTGTTAATGAATTTACTGTACAGTAGGCCTATATATGTGTGAACAATTTTGTATAGAAGTTAGGTATACAGTTTATATATACTGCCTATACGTCTCTCTGTCTACGGCATAATATGTATAAATGTTCATACCAGTACACATGTATAATGCGTAACCATTATGTGTAAATAAATTCATACATGTAAATATGTATGTGAAATGATTGTATTTATAAATAAATAAATACATGTACTGTATATGTGTATGTGCAGCACACACACACACAGCCAACTTAATTTCCCCAGGGTGTCGCAGCAAGAAAATAAATAAGTGGAATTTCAACATGCAGTTTAGAGGGACAAACTGCTCAGCATTTAGTACCTGTCTTACCAAACAACAGTGGACAAAATACAGTAACGAAGTGAAGACAATGTTTCCTAAGAGTTTAATATTATAATGATGATCTATGATTTATTGGTATGTGGATGTTTGGGTAGGGGTGTGTAATGTTGGTGTTCTGGGGTCGCTAATTGTTCTTAATATATGGACTTGTATTCCTGCAAGTAATACTCTACCATACTAACGCACATTAAGCGTAAAGTATGGATATTTGTCAGTAAAGAATAAATAGTTTCTTACCTAAAGAAAATTCCATAAAGTGACGAGGATGTGTTATTTGCGTAATGTTATTTTTGTGAGTGTTTCCGTCCTGAACACTGACCTCTGTTGACAGCACCGACCAGTGTAGCCCACTGTCGTCTCCCACAGGAGGCTTCCAGGAAGTGTTTCATATGCCCCAAGAACCTGGAATTTTATAAAGAAAGTTGTACTGAAGATGATAACTTTATTCCTAAATTTAGTCATTTCGTGATTTTCTCCTGAATAGCGTTTCATACACATAAACGTTTACACAAAAGACCAACTTACCAATTACTATACTGCTACGTTACAACTTACCAATTACTATACTGCTACGTTAAGTAATCTATTGGGAAATAAACCAATTAAACCTGATCAACCTAAACCATGATAGGTCTATTCATTCTATACAGTAGGCGATAAATTATATAATATAGCAGTAGCTGGTAAGTTTATAGAAGCATTTCTTTAAATGAAACGAAACGCTCCGCTTGTAAACAGTGAGCAATGACGTCGTAGCCTGTCGACGATTAGTGCTCAGGACGAAAACAACACAAAAACATTATTATGCAAACCCAAAACAACGTCACTTAATGGAATTTTCTTGAGATAATGCATTTACTTTGTAGTGAAAAATTTATTTAACTTACGGGTTAATGCGCGATACTGTTCCACATACTTGTCTTCCATCCCCTTATTCATTCCCTCACCCTCCCACCAACCCCCTACACACGCCCACCAACCCATAAAAGAGAAAAATTATTATTAGACTTCTAGTTGAAGTACACTTACTCAAGATTTATTCCAGCCGTCGACATTTTATACGGAGGAAGCGAGGATGAAGCCTGGCGAGACCCTGACCTCACGGAAATAAACAACGCTACTTATTTTCCAAAACATTACCCGGTGTGTCTAGCCTTTCCCAGCTAATGCCGAAAATGAATTAAAACATTTTAGGGTGTTCAAGTATCTTATATAACTACATGTCAAAGCGGTTTAAAATGTGTTTATCATATACCATTATACTTATTTCAAATTTTTTCAACTTTATTCATGTTCTACGGCTTTTTTATTTACTTTTGTCACTTTATCAGTTTATCGCCTCACATAATATACAGTACAGTATAGTAATGGTTAGTTTTATGGGTGAAATAAATCCAATTCAGAAACTATACACTCAAGTACATGGGTAATGTAATCAGGGTCAAAGGTGAAGTAATCAAGGTCCAAGGTGAAGTAATCTTAAGGTCACGGATGTGGTATTCAAGGCCAGGTGAGTTATCAAGGTCATAGGTGAAGTAATCAAGGTCAAATGTGAATTAATCAAGGTCAATGGTAAAGTAATCAAGGTCACAGGTGGGGTAATCAAGGTCAAAGATGAAGTAATCAAAGAAGTCACAGGTGTGGTACTCAAGGTCGGGTGAGGTAATCAAGGCTACAGGGTAAGTAATCAACTCTATCACAAAGTTTCTCCACAAACCAATTTCCTCTTAAATTGACTTCCGGGCTTTTACAAGGAACCGCGTCTGTAAGTTAAATTTTCCCCATAACTGAAGTTGTTAGAACG